AAATAATGCTTTACACTCACTCATTCGGAAAATATACAAATAAATAATAAATAATAATCCTTATTTATTAATGCCGACAACATAAATATGGATCTCTTTCGAAACGATTGTACCATCAATCTACTGTAAACTTATTTAGGTAAGTATAGATTCTTTTCGATAAACTAAGAAATATACGGAATTCAAGGCTTTGTTATCATCACATCAGTAACGGTATTAGGTCACAATATCAAATCGGGTGGATTGCTTAATTTGCAGATAATATTCTCCAGGATTCCGAAGAGTAGATATTTGTTAGTTGTCAAAAAACTAAATGGAATAATAATAATAATAATAATAATAATAATAATAATAATAATAATTTGATGGGACTTCACAATACCTAGAGACAGAACAATCAAAGCTAATCGCCCAGACATCGGGATTAAAGACCAAAAAAACAGAATATATTTTCTTATCAACATGACAGTCCCTTCAGATTGTAATGTATCTTTAAAAATCTTCCAAAAACTACCAAAATACAAGGATCTTGAAGTGGAAATCTAAAAAAAAAAACGTGGCACATCAGGACATCAATTATTCCAGTTGTAGTTGGAGCACTCGGATTGATTGGAAAAGGGTCCGATAGACTCATTGAAGAGATTCTTGATATCCAATGTTTTACAGAAATACAAAAATTCTACTCGCAACTACAGCCCACACATTACGAAGATCTTTATCTATGTAAAATGTGCGTGATCTTTGAGGATTTTTTTTCAAAAATGGTCATCGAAAAATGTCACAAAGCCATTTTGACCTTAGGTCTCTGGTTGGGACCTGGTAGGAAATGTGTATGCAACAGAAATACAAGAAAATAATAATAATAATAATAATAATAATAATAATAATAATAATAAGAAGAAGAAGAAGAAGAAGAAGAAGAAGAAAAAGAAGCTTTTTTAGCAGTTTTTATCCAGTTCTATTTATGCACGCATTACCAGCCGATGAATCTGATATACAAACTAAAAATGGAAACCAAAAATATATTCATAAACAACGATTTACAACAGCAAAAAATAATAACATACCTAATCTGTGATGTTTTCGTTATTTTATTATTAATAGTAATAATTAGACGTCATGATCATTCTTTCAAGTTAGATTGGCGAGCACACAGGCAATCCCAAAAAGCGACACAACCGGGCCGGATAGAGCAAATATCTTAGAGATTGGATGCCTCCTGAAAAAGCGAAGATTCACAAGAGAATCCCACCGACCACTTGCGTAGGGCGCCCGATCCTCAAGGAATTATTATTTTAGTTACCTCATATCACACTAAGTTTGCTGAGTTACTTATATGAGTGTAAGGGGATGAAAATTGTAGACTTTTATCACTAGCCTTAGTAGGACAACCAGTTTAGGGAAACTATGTATCCAAACCCCTTGCTTACGATTCATGTCGCTCGTCGTCTGTGACGAACTTTCGAGAAGACCGGAGTTCTGTAGTGGTCAGAGACAATAGCTGATAAAAATCAAGCTATGTAATGCGTAGAAAGAGGTACAGATGGATGAAGTGCGTTTTCGAAACGAAATATGTACGGACACGCAACGTGAAAACCTTTCAGTTATAACTAAAAGACAAAAAAAAAATGCTGACCATTCGTTTAGTACACCTTCTACACTCTTCCGCTTATCAATGTCCGTCTGAAATTATCTATTAACTCATACATCTCCCCAAATGCGCATCATTGTTCATTTCTCCAATTGGTACCTCACTATGCAAGCGTGCGTTGTACAGCGTTAATATGTAAAGAGTTCGAACCTTAAACACAGCTGTATAGAAATCATCGGGAATAAATAGGTTAAAACTGCCTTTTCATTAACAAGATGTTTATAAAATGCCTATGTTCAGGTGTGCAGAGTAGGTCTTTTAGCCTAGGAAAAACTCAACTGATTGAAGTATTTGGCTTAGTCCGGTACAACGACACACTAGTGTCATTAAGAATCGAACTCGTTAGTACGAACTCGCAACATAAAGTGTCTGTGTCAAGGTTACAATCTCGTGGCTTTCGTATGCACCACTGGTACCTTAGGTTGGTGTTGTTATATTGCAGGTTTAAGACCAGGATCCTTAATGCTAGTAGGTAAATTGTCGCAACAGAATCTTCCTATTTTCATTTGGCTTTGTGGCATGCTAAGCTGAGTTTGTATTTTAATGAGAATGAATGAGAATGAATGTACGTGAACATATGTCGAAACATACGCTTATATGTGTCTGTGATACAGAGAGAGAGAGACAGAGACAGAGAAAGAGAGAGAGAGCGTGTGTGTACATGTTGAAAAAAAAACAAAAAAACAAAAAAAAACAAACAAAACAATAAATATTCAACTCAAATTTGTCGTAATAATTTTCCGGGTCAGTGGGACCTGCCTGGGTTGAACATTAACTTTCGAAATTCTGACATTTACCAGGGTTAGAACGTTAACTTGTGGTGCCATTGGAAAAAAACTAATCGTCAATCAGAGCCTCATTATTATTTAATGAACCTAGCTAAGTCTGGTACATGGACGCAATTGTGGAGTATCCAGTGATACAAGCCTGGTATGAATCTACGGTAAACACTAAAGATACAATGCACTCCGAGAAAGCAAAAAATAGTGAGCTAATTAAAAACCTGTGATAAGGAACGGAATATCACCCTGTCGACGAATGCACGCTGGTACATGCCTGTGTATATAATGGCGAGCTTAGAATTGTGACGCAGAAAACGCCGTGCCGCGGACACGCGCACTTGGTAGATATCTGAGGCAAATAT